ATGTTTACGTGCGATGCTCGCATTGTCCTTCACTCCGTAGAAATTACATTAAAGAATCATTCATACACGCCGGTCAGTGTATTTCTTAGTGGCACTACATAACAATACCAGTAGTATAATATTATAAAATCATAAATATGAAACAGACTGTATGTACTTAGATTTCTTTTTTTGTTTACCAAAGGGAGACTGTACAAAAGTCGTTTGCTTGGCCACCTCTGTCCCTTTCGTGTTTCTACCGGGAAGCAGTTGCGTTTGCATACGAGTAGTTGTGTTTCGGTTTGAAGGGTGGGATATGGCAGTAAATTTACTGGGTACAGAGGAATAACACCTGAGTCCTCAGGAATGGCAACGCATGGGGGGTGTCATGGGCGAAACAGTACACTCTGTTATGTCCATGGTACTGCTCATGTCTATAGGCGACGGTTGCCACTTTCCATCAGGTGGGCCGTCAGCTTGTTTGCCATTCTAAGTTGCATAAAAAAAATAAGCAATGAAACCTGAATATTGCAAAATCACAGCGTTTTAAAGTTAAAAAAAGACAACATTTACATGTGAAATTGAATGAAAACTATTGAATATTTATCCTGAGTTCAATAAGCAACGTACGCCTGTATTTTAATGTATTTAATATATATTTTTGTTCGTCTGTCGGTATCTTTGTGTTGGTATCAGACAAAAATTATTGCATTAAATGTCATCTTGGTCTATAATATTGTATACACTTCTTGCGCGACAAAGCGACGCAACTTATACATGTGAGTTTTTTATTGATTTATCAGAGTAGCGTGGAGAGGTGCAGCCTACTTTGCACTTTTTACTATTATTATTATAGCAGCTAGAGGCGACTAAGGGAACTCAATGGTCGAAGGATAATCAGCAACGTCCCTCTCAAAAATCTCTAAAAGCCTAACTGCAGTTGCCCTACCGCCTGCCAAGCGTGCCAACTACTGGCAAAACTCCCCTTATGGGGATGGCTCATGTTCAGCAGTGGACAGTTATGAGCTGATATGATGATAATGATGACCATATCGGCGGATGCTCAAAACGCTTCCAGAGATACCTCATTTGTTAAATTATGATAAGCAGTTTAGAAGTTATGAGGGAACATGTGAACATACATACATACTGGTCAAAATCATAACACTCCTTTTTGCTTCGCCGCAGTCAAGTAATAATAGTATCCCAATAAATTACACGTTTATTAAAATGTCTACATGTGTTGCAGAGTTTTCCTAATTGGACTAACTATTAGAATTTATTAGTGCATCGTAATCGGGAACGGGTGACGCAGGTCGTGTGCGCGTGCGCCTGCCGGGAGGCGGTCGCGCGCGCCACCCTGCGGCTATGATAGTTACCAAAAGGTAACTAATGTAACAAGAAGTTCAATAATAATAGATAGATTTACAATAATGTATCTGAGAACTTAGTTTATTCTAAATACTTATTTCTTAAACTCAATATGAAAAGTTCACATTATTAGTACGTTTCGTGGACGAGTCAAATAACATTGAACAAAAGGGTCAATCAAGAATCAATACGGAGAACCACGAAACGCCGGTACGAGTGTCCCGTCACATGGAACATACACCTGCGGCTGTAACATACAGCGTTTACAATCAGACAGACACGGAACAAACATTTACCACTTTTTGCCATTAAATCGCAGCGGCTACGCCATATTTCCCCTAGGAATACCTGTCGTAAAATTTAATAAGAGAAAAATGTAAGCGCGCTGCGCGCGTGCAAGTCACAAGAGATGCACGTCGTGAAAAAGCCACGCTGCTTGCACGACGGACGTCTGCGCAGGAAGCAAACCTCTGCGCGGGTCAACGAACCCGGCATCGCTGTTAGAAGCTATCTCGTATAGCAGTGCTGACCTTAATCCGCCCACCATAGAGTGCAGAGTAGCGCGACCGCTGCTGCGTGCCAGTGTTAACATTTAATCTAACGTGTTTTCTCTCGCTCGCAATTTAAAATGTCGCCTCTGAACATAGAGGTATGGACCAATTCGCCTCGGTGGGAGCCGAGGAGGCTTTACGAAGCAGCGCCATTAGCGGGGAGGACGAGCTGTCTCATAAGATTTGCTGATAACCGAGATTAACTTTAGAATTAGTAATGGATAGGAAAGGCCGTCGCGCATTTCTCTACTGGCTACTAGATCGCAGCGAATGTAGTCGAAATATACAGAGGGACAGTTATTCATTCTCTCGAGAGCACAGTTTCCGTATGCAAGTGACTAAATCAAACGGTAACGCTACTAATGTCGAAGAACAATGTGCTTCATTATCAACATGTAAATACTCCGCACTAAAAGATTTAAACGAGTCCAGCGCAGCGTTACGCGCCGTATTCACATGGTTCTTTTTAAATAAAATATGACATATGTCACTCGATGACAATATAAGAGTCTATAGGTGAGAGAATTTAAAATCGGTATTAGTTTAGACTATAATCTCTTGTCTAATCTCTCGTGTCTTGGTAATCTCATATGGACTCCCGCGATACAGGTTCTCCAAGTGCGGGGTCCAATGTACTCGCTGTTGTAAATTTTTTGTATTTAATAAATAAATAAATAAATATAATTAAACGATATCTATATTTATATATATATTTATATTTCGATTCGATATATATATTTAAAAAAAAATGTTATGACTAGTCTTACTTGACTAATGAGAACATAAGAAGCCAAAATGATAATGCTTACATTTTTGTCTATGTGTCTATCTGTATGTTTATTTCGGTATTACACAAAAACCACTGAATAAAATTTTATGCGGTTTTCATGATTATGTTCCTATAGGTGAAACTTTTATTACGATACACCGTTTGCGAAGTAGGTTTAAAATATACGTGCATATTATTGCATATATATATAATTTTCCATGTTTCCATGTTTCCATGGTTGTTGAAATAGAGCATCGACAGTAACAAACATAGAAAATTATTCCGATCATAAAGCTAAATATTTGTTTAAATATAAATAAATAATTATATTATATGTATCTAATATTCAAGCACCAGTAAAACATTTAAATCTTTTATTATGAATCACATATGTGACTCCATGTAGACAGGTGCGCTCGGCAATCATCCATATCATTAAAGAGTAATACAATTGCATAACATAAAAACTCATTTATTATTGTTTTAACAAGCGAATCTGCAAGCTGTCCGTACGATAACCATTAGCGGTTACATTCTTAGGGTTCCGTACTAAAATATTAAAGAAGAACCCGACCGTGTATCTGTATTTAACACGGATATTCCTCAGTAGATACTGAGAGGCGCGTAACCCTAGGCGCATCTGGGCACAGGGACCGACTCACTTCATTCTAATCCCCACCATCAGGAACTTTCAAATTTTTTTGTTGACACGAAGAAAAGGGTTGAGTTGTTTACCTCGATAGCTAGACATATTAATTATAACTAATTACTGCAAATAAATCAACTTGTAAGGTGACATAGTTGCAATAGTAAGAGTAAACCCTAATAAAATATGTCTATAAAAAGAAAGCTACTTTTTAATAATTAATAGATGGATTTAAAACAAAAGTTGTTTGCGATTTTATAAAAAAAAAGTATTTATTTAAAAATCATAATATCACGCATATTATTAAAAAAAATTTAGTAATTAAATTTTGATGACAATTTATTACGGCAAGAATATTGTTATTATTTTCCCAGCATTACAGTACGGTGCGAGTGACAAGTCGCCGGGTCACAAACCCATAGAAAAATTGGAGCTAGTTATGCAGAAAACGGCCACATTACTTGGGACGTCCTTTAAATATGGCTATCCTTCCTCGGTTAAAGGACCAATAACCAACCAATAAAATAATGATGATCACGAAAATGATACATTCTAATTAAACAAAATATTTTATGATAATAATATATTACCTACTATTAAAATGTCACCCAACGCCTGCCTTTGCTCAATGTAATTGCCCTAACGTCACGTGACACCCCCCTCCCCTTCACCCTCCGCCGCCGTGTGCTACAACGTCCAGTGTTTATTTACATTTCAAAACTATATTTTTTACTCTATGATTATTTTGGACAAGAAACGTAATAAGTAAAAATATTTAATTGCATAATAAGAACCCTCAGTATGCAAGTACAAATCAAACATGACAGATTTTTTTATTTGATGAGACGAAACATGCGAAATTGCATCGACGCAAGCGCACGAGTGCAAAGAATAGAGGGGTAGTGGATTGAGTTTAGATCACGCGATGCCTCAGTACAATACCCTCGTGGCAGAATGTTCTAGTACACTATACTTATTCGTAGAATATTCCATTTTACCAACTGTAACTAGCAGTTTACTGTTTGTTTAACAAATTTCATTCTTTATTTAAACTTTACAAACTTTCACATTTATATTTATTAGTAAGTCAACAAAGATAGAATAATAGTATTATTATCTAGGAAATAGTTTTTATATTGAATAAGATGGATGGATAAAATCCGGTTTATTTATAAACTCTTTTTTAACGACTCGCCAAATTGCAGTGACTAACGAAGCCTACAGCTTATATACCACTCGTATTTATTAAGTGAAACATACCGCCTATAGACATGAACAATGAACAGCAGAAAAGGGTAGGATATACTGTGACATCCGCAATACCCCTCATGCATTGCTCCTCCTCCACATCCAGTAACTTCGCTGTTATATCTCATTTAAAACGAAACAACGAAGCAAGAGCTATGATCATAGGCGTATTCAAGGAGGACCAAGTGGGCCGTGCCCACCCCAAACTCGTCTGGTCTCACCCTGGAAAATAACCTTAAGTACACCAGTGGCGATGATAAGAATGAGGAGGAGGTGCTGTAACTCGTGTATTCCTCGTTCAAGAGTATGTAATGACAATAAACTTATTAACTGCTACTTCGCATATTCTAAAAGTACCAATTAGCATATATCTATGTACAAAATGTCTAATAGTATAAATAGGTATAATACCAAAGATAATATTCAGTGTACATACCTGACAAGCCAGACGGGGAACCTGGTTCTTCTTTGAACCTGTCAACAAAAACATTTTACATATAAGTAAATAAGAAGTGCATAATGTGGTCACATATGATAACACAAAGATAATAATATGACTTTTAAACAGCTCCGAATTTAAATACCAACCTTCATTCTGCATTTGCAATTTAAAAAACATCCGATATGTATTTTAAATCCTATAAAATTGAACAAAAATGTCATAAGAACAATGTTCTGGGAACCTCCAGATTCATATAATATCATTACTGACAAAACCTTATTGAAATACTGACAAAATTTGACAAAGTTTAGATTCTATTCTAGGTTTTGTAAGTTGTATATAGTTCTAAATTTTAGGCGGTATGTAATAAAAATTCAACACAGGTTTGCTGCAGGATTATAAAAAATAAAAACGGTTAAATAAATTCAAAGGAGGATAATTTTTATTCGCAGCCCGGCGACACTCGGCCCCTGCGAGATGCCAGGTCGACCACTCGATCTATTGATAGAAATTTGTGAAATAGGAGTAATTATCGTAATTATTCTTTTTTTTTTGTAGTCTATGCTTTAAAACTCTAAAATAAATAAATAAATAGAGAATATAAGGATTTTAATGTATTTCACAATACATATTACTAGTAATATTTTAATTTATTAATTTATTAAAATTTGTTGAAATCCCTTTTTAACAATTTTTCATTTATTTCTATATTTTTTTTTATTTGTTTGTATCGATACAAGATCTATATGAAAGGATATATTTAAAAATTGTAGGGAAAAAGAAAAATAGATTTAAAAAAGTAAGATTACGACACATGTTATTCATCAGTACATCCTTGCGAAGCCGGAGTAGGTAGCCAGTGTTTAAAATTATAGTCCACAGAACCATAGTATAGAGAACTACCTTTAAAATTGTTTCATTCTAGGAATAAACTATGAAACTTCAAACTTGAAGGAATTCGATGAAGCGCCTTAAGTTTAATCATTATGCTTTATAGGTTCTTTCCGTATTTGCAGTTGTTGAAATGAAATGAAATGAGTTTATTTGCATTAAACATTTTAAAATTATTACAAAAGCCACGTGGTATTATTTTGGCACCTGTTTAATTGCCTTAAGAGATGTAGGCATGCAAATATTTTACATTTTATAAAAAAAAAAGCGGAAAACAAAATTATAATTCAATTATGTTATTTAAATTGTCCTTACATATTAAAAGTCTAGTTTATAGTACTTCATGCCACTTATATCTGTACATAACTAATACAATAAAATTATAAAATAGAAAAATGACAATAGTAGTGGTAAAATAATTAAAATGTCAAGCTCAATATACAAGATATTCCTTAATACTATAAAAAAGTTTGTCCAAAAGCCATTTAATTAGCTCTTTTTTAAATTTATTCAGAGGTAATACTTGAATGTCAAAAGGCAACTTATTAAATATGTTTTGTGTCATAAATGAGACATTTTATTGATATAGCGTCAATGTTGAATTTGAATAGGAAGGGAGTAGGCAAGTGTTCTAATACTTGCCTAGTCTCTTCGTACTCTACAAGCAAATCAACTTTAGAAAACTGAAATCGTAAAGCTTCTGTGATGTGGAGTTGTTTACAAATACTTGAAAATCGATGGCACGCGGTAGGTTTAACTGGATTATATATTTCTTGGAAAATTTGTCGGCGTGACTGAAAGCCATTCGAGTGTATTATATGAAATTATTAATAATACCATCTCGCTACGTAGCTATTCATATAGGATACAGTAGCTACAGTATGCCAAATGAATTAACAGGATAATATCATAGTTGCCTCAGGAATGGCAACGTATAAAGGGTATCATTGATGACATAGTATACTCTGTTATTCTTAGAGTACTGTTCATGTCTATAGGCGACTGTGACCATTTTTTACCAGGTGGGTAATCAGTTTGTTGCCATTCCAAGTGGCATAAAAAAAGTCTTTATACTGAAAGATGGCAGGGCCCTATGCTACGAGCGAATGACAAGCTGACAAAGTAGCAGGCTTCACAAAGTCGACGTGGTTCGTTGGATGATAACCAGGTCCATATAAGTGACTGGGCAGGGTACTATTCGCTTGATTAGTGACGATTGTGTAATCCTTATTCTTCTTAGTTCCAAGAATATTTGCAAAAAGGGTGAGAAGTGCTAATCGCAACCATTTATGTTCAGTGCTTCGAAGTAAGCACCGCTGATGTATATTCCGTTTGGCAACAGTTCGATTAGATGATGTTCATCAGGTATCTACTTTTCTACTGCGGTCCACGTAATAGAATGCAAGATGGGAAGAAAATTAATGTTTCTTTTTTTTATACAATTTAGAATGGCAAACAAGCTGACGGCCCCCTGAAGGAAAGTGGTAACCGTCGCCTATAGACATGAGCAGTACCATAGACATAAAAGAGTATACTGTTTCGCCCATGATACCCCCCATGCATTGCCATTTCTGAGGACTCAGTATTATTCCTCTGTACCCTGTAAATTTATGCCATATCCCATCCTTCAAACCGAAACATAGCCATGCAAAAACAACTGCTTTACGGTTGAAATACGAATAGGACAGAGGTAGCCAAACAAACGACTTCTGTACATAGTCTCCCTCTGGTGTTCATGTTCAGATAACATTATTACCTTAAAATTTCAAAGATGCAACATGTTTGCGATTTCAAGGATTTAGAATTCGGATGCTTCCATTTTGGCGTAGATATTGGTTTTCACATGTGGCTTCCATGTTTCAAAAGCCTATATGAAATCTATGTATATATAGATAAGGAATGCAGAATGTTATTTTTTTAATTATGCATAAAAAATAAATAAAAAAAGGACATTATGCATACTATTATGTATTCGATACACACACACACACACACACACACACACACACACACACGCATATATTCTCTCTTTTGTTTATTGTTAAAGTCTGTGGTCAAATTGAGAATAGATTAGTATTGTTTGCCTTTAATATCATTTGTCTATAGTCTTACTGAATGTCTAACGTAACAATAATAAATTAATTTATTACAATATATGTTATGGTCGGATTTCGACCACGGAGCGACCACTAGTATTTATTTATTCACTCAATTATAACAACGATGTCATTACAGGTTACAGCCTAATACAAAAACGTTTAACATTTATAATACCTATATACATAATGATATAATATTAAAATATATTTTTGATGTTACATACCATCCGAATAATAAAATAATGACCTTTCTGTGAACTTCTTCATTGAACAATTAAATATATCGATTTTCCAATTTTCGCTAATCATGTTAAGTAGAAGAGCGCTCTGATGATTGGCGCGAACTGCTGAAGTGCACGAAGAGGGCACCTCGAGCAGAGCCGTTCAGCGGCTTCTAAATATATAGTTTACCGACGTCGAGAGTGACAACGAATGCAATGTCTGTTTGTTGGAATTTATACCGCTCAGGACATTGAGTACGTACATCGCTAATACGACATTCCATCTTACTTCCAGACTATAATAGCCTATCATTCCCAAAACAAAAAAGGTACGATATATGAGACGGAATAAAGGGTCCACACCGTATTGTGTCATGTAAAGAAACCGAATAAACTTATTTTGTATTTTCTCACTCATTTGGATGTATTTACGTTCATGATATTCCAAATTGCGCTACTTTCGAGTCTGCTTCTTACAAGCGCATTTTTTAAAGATCTAACAGCTATTGTACCTTCATATTTTTGTAGCACAGTCTGGAGTCCTTATTATCAAATACATATTAATATAATCGAAAAAGTACAGAAAAAATTTGTAAAGTCCTCGAGATATCGCAGTGGCCAGGATGCATTGTGTTATAATGATGCCTTAAGTAAATATAACTTATTGTCCCTTTACAATAGACGTAAAATGTTTGATATTATGTGTTTATATAAGATTTTAAATAATCTAATTGATTCCCCTACAATCCTAAGTAAAATAACTTTTGCTGCTTATATTCGTGTCCCCGCTCCCCGCACGCTCCTCACGTAGATTAGCTCTGTTTGTTCCCCCTCGTTTACGTAAAAACTATATATGTAATTCCTTTCTTTACCGTTCCACCGACACTTTCAATAGAGATTTTTTTTAATTAGATCCGTTTTATGAATCTGTTCATATTTTTAAACTCAAAAACTTGTATGTTGAAATTAAATCGGCGCTTCTTCTTTCTTTTTCTTCGTCTTTGATACTTATATATATTAGTATCTTGGATTTGTTGCTAAATTTCATGCGTGTTTCCATGGGACTTCATAAATAATTATCTCTATGTTTTTAATTTACTGTTATTAGCATTGTTGGGTCTATTGTTCTAAAACTGCAATGTATATTGTTGTTAATTATTTTGTAAATGACTGTTTGTTGCCATAAATAAATAAAATAAAAATATGCCTGCGCCTGGCGTAGAACAAAACCTAAACTACGGAATTTGCATTATTGTAATATGACTTCTGAATGTTAAGCCGGCAATCTCCTAGATCCTGAAATTAGTGACGCGAGACATTACCGCACCCTCTAATATATAATTAAATAAAATCAGATTCTGCGCCCGCTATATCTAATTATATGACATTTACTTACATTGAAGTATAACTTGTTACCGCGTCTCCACCTGACGATTTTGTTAATATCATTCTGCAGCTGTTTGCAATCCAAGAGACGTTCTATTGTCGTGAATATTTTTAAATCGTCCACAAATAATAAGCAAATGGTAGCGTCTGTCGTCTCAGAAAGGTTATTTATCATTACAATAAGCTCTAATGGCCCTAAATTGCTATCCTGACTAATACTCGAATATGTAAACTATGTTTCTGACTCTACACTCTCAAATTTGACGCACAATTTTCGATCGCGCAAGAAACTAGCAAAAATCTAGTAGCAGCGGTGTAAACCTGTTGTGACGGAGTGCTTGCACGGGTTACTTAGTGTAATTATCAACAAGGAAAATGCGACGATTTGAATACTATTTATTGGGAGACCACGAAACATACATCATTAAAATGCTT